AGTATGCATTCACATGTATTTGTGGCAGGGCCTAGGAACTTCTCATACATACTTGTTGAATCATATAAAGTGTTTTATTGCATTTTGTTTATATTTATATAGCAGAATCTTAACTGTAATAAGCATAGTGTATTTATGTAAATGCAGTCATCACACATACAGTGATTATTAACATCTATATATTTTTATAATAACTATATAATATATTCAATTCATTATCCCTCTGCAAATGTGATGTTACGTTCTTTGTTTCCATTTTTTCATGTTTCACTTGTGATGTACATCGCCTGTATGTAATTTAACAGCCACAAAATTTGTATCCAGTAGATTTTGTTCGGCTCAGTACAAAACGCAGAATGGAGAATTTTTAAAAGTGCCAAAGGCCCATAGGAGGGGATTTCGCTCATTAGTAAAAAATAATAATAATAAAGATAATGATATAGTTATAATAAGACTCATTAAAGCTTGATAGTAGATTATTTTATTAAATTTCCTGGGCCAGCCGTATCTCCTCAGCTCTTTTTAAGACCTGTGGTTCTTCCTAAATGGAGCCACACTGTTGCGTTTGATATTTGCTTTACCTTACAATATAAAGTGTCTTAAGGCAACTATTCTTGTGATGTAGCACTATTTATTTGTGCAGCTGGATAGTGTAGTGATAGAAATACACACCTCTGGAGTGGGGGTCGCAAGTTCAATCCCCCCCATGCTAAAAACCAGCCCTGGAGTGGTGCAGCTACGTTTGCAGCCTGTCTGGGTGACATAAAAGTGGCTCAAGCCATCTTTTTTACTCCCTATAACTGTTTCAGCCCACTATGAGTATGCATGATTATGGTTATATTTACTATTTTTAAAATTTAAAAGCTAAACATGCGTTTTAAAAGTTATTTTAAAAAGTAATTTCCAGCAAGAAATAAGTGAGAGAGAGGTACATTGTTATTTCTGGCATCTCTGTTTTGGTAGTTTTGTTGTATTGCCACTTTGATTTTTTACTTTACTGGAGATGCTGTACTGTGTCACAGACTGCAGGCTACCACCTTTGAACACCATCCTCTTAAAAACAACAGGGCTTTGCTGAGTAGTCATCATTGTCTCAGTACGATACGACCAATACTTTTCAAACTGTAAGAGAAGATATAAGAAGAATAAAGCATGACACTAAGGTCGAAAAGACTGTAGCGCATGTCAAGACTAACATCGACCCTGAAACAAAACCCAGTTCGAGAGCCTCCCCCCGACCTCCTCCTCATGCAGCTCTCACTTTCTCCCACTCTCACGCTTTCCTTTCTCTCATTCTTTCATTCTGTACCTATTGAGCAGTAAAGTTGTCGCTCTCTTTCACAGCCTACCCTGGGCAAGAGGGGAACAATGCAAGCACACTTTGCTCCCCTGAATACGTGTTAGAAACCCAATCAGGCCCTCTTATTCGTCATATTCTTTTCTCTTTTTTCTTTCACAGTCCTGTCAGGGAAAAGGGACGGGGGGGCTCGCAGCAAAGGCAAACCCCTCTCTGTTCTCCCTTTTCTTTTTTTCCCGCCGTCTCTTCTTTTTTTCCTGCTTTGTTTTTGTGTACATGCACTCACATGCACCTCATTTTCCTGTGTGAGTATAGTTATTCTACCCATGGTTAGTTTTTTAAATCAGTAGAAATAAAACAAACAGGTAAGAGTGGGAAAAACAGTCCTTCTACCAATTGATTGTAAATTGAGAAATGCCTCAGGTATATGAACTCTACAAAAGCATGCATACATGCCATAGTTAAATCGTAAACCAAGTACTTTTAACATCTCTTAAAGGAAAACCGGCTGTACAGGAGCATCAAGGAAGTAGCCACTGTGATGTCAATGAGTGATTTGTGATTGCCTCAAGTTAATCCCTTTGTTTTTATTTTTTTGTATTTTTGACAACCAGAAGTGACCTTTTTTTAGACGAACTTGTCTGTAGAAGACACCAAAGACACTGTGAGGTCCACCTGTGTCACCATACCTGTCTGTGAAATTGGTCTTGCCCCTGATAATTCAGACTTTTGGTCTTAATGCAACTGAAACACGCAAGTTATAAAATAAAACAAAAAAACCCTCATCTGCAGTTTTTGTAAAGTGGGAAATTTGCTATAGAAAGACTGCATTGTACCAGGCTGTAAACATGCTTATATCTGTGACTAAAATTAGGCATTTTAACATGGGGGTCTACCTGGCTTTTGGGTCTAGTCTGCTGTTGTCATTAGAGAAACATCAGTTTTTTCCCCGTCCTGGCTTCATTTTTAGCCCCTGCGGTTGCAGCTTGGTTAGAATCCACTTTTTCCCTCTTATAAAAACACCTCAGTATATATAGGACGTGGTTTGACAGACTTGAGAGCAATTTCTGAGTTGTTCCATGCATAGTCACTACATAGGCACCTATAAATACTACTACATCCCGTATCCCGACCTGCTTCTTACTATATTGTCCAGAATAAAAGTGAAAAAATGTCTCTAGAGGCTAGTTTCACAAGAAATTGGAGACTGAAGAAGCAGGAAAGAACTCAAAATTGTAAATAGTTAAGCAGGCTCTTCAACCATCAAGGAGGGTTTGGTGGAAGTCGGGGGGGTTGATAGACTGAGCAGATCAACAGAGGCAGTGAAACAAACGGGTGCAGCAACAGGTTGGAATTAGATCAACACTATCAAGCAGGCCAGATACAAGCTGCGATACCTGAGAGAGATGGATGACGAGGTTGTGTGTGCGCAGGAATGGAGGCTGTGTGTTTGTGTGCTGTTAATCTATTTATTTACCTGTCATTGGCTGCGATAATGGTTTTCATCCCTTCTCTCTGTGTCTCTCTGTCTCAGTCTATCTTGTGATGGGGGATTGGTTTTTCGTGTGTCGCTTGATAATCACACCTGTATTTTCTCATCAGACTCTAATCAGACCAATTACACGCGTGACGGAGAGCGTGGGCATGTTGATGCAGGGGAGCGATAAAGACACACACATACACACTCACAGACACTTCGGGATTAAGCTCTCTGTCTTGGGGTATCTACGTCCCTTATCGGGGACAACCATCCCTGACGTGGCCTGTCAGCAGGCATGCCAAAAGTGTCGCTCACGCACAAACACATGTGAACACACTTAGGTCATGTATGCAATGCACCAAATATAATCTATGTCTAAAAAAGAAAGCATGCCTCTCCTGTCTTGCTATTTACCCTTTGATCCCTCTCTGCCCTCGTTGTGATGAAGAATACTCTGAAAGTCTGTCTATTCTCGTACTTGTTTCGATAGGCATATGACGGCTTCGCCAGCCTCGGCATCTCTCGTCTCCTGGAGCCATCCGATATGGTGCTGCTGGCCATTCCTGACAAACTAACAGTAATGACCTACCTGTATCAGATCCGGGCCCATTTCTCTGGCGAGGAGCTCAATGTGGTGCAGATAGAGGCCAACAGCAACCGCAGCACCTACAAAGTGGGTGACTTTGAGACTGATACAAATGCATCAATAGACCAGGACAAGTTCTACGCTGAACTGAACGATGTGCAGCCCCGCAAGGCTGACTCTCAGGCTGCTGTTTCTGCCAGCGGTGCCACCACTGAATCTAACAGAGCTGAAGCTACTGAGGGAGAGGTGAAGGAGCAAGGTTTGAAGGCCGAGGTAGGAGCAGTTCCGGCCGGCTTGTCGACTCCAGCGCTGTCACAGTCCTCGCTTCCTGTCCCATCACCGCGCACAGTATTAGTTTCCACAGCAACAAACTCAACCTATGTGATGGCGTCAGGCTCTGAGGACAGGGGAAATCTACAGAAAGCAAACACTTTAGACCTTAGTGAGTTACCACAGCGAGTGGAGATGGAGAAGGAAAGGCAAAACAAGGATGAACCAGGAGAGCAGAGAGGAGAGGGAGCTCCCGAACCAGCGTCCCCTACCAGGAGAGGAGCTACTTTGTCCCACTCGCCACCCCATCCGAAACTGGGCTTCTCCTACAACAGGGATGCCGACCTCATCAAGAAAAAGAGGGCAAGCCTGCGTCACTCAGAGTCTGAGCCTGCATCAGATACCAGCTCTTCTCCAGTGAATCATACAGATGCCCCAGTCAAACAGGTAAATACACATGAAGCCTAACATTTTATACTTTATTAACACACTGTAGTGTTTCCTGAATATTGTAAATATATGACGTTGGAAAGTAATCAACTAAATACACACGTCTAATCTTGAGTCCAGTGCCTTAAAACACCTCTGGGTCAGTCTGTATGATCTGGACTAATTCTAACTGCTTAATAATGCAGGTATTAAGATTCTGACAGCGTTTGCGTGCAGATTCCTGCTTTTCCCCCTAAATGAATTGTTCTCATTTTTATCCTTGCACCCTGAATTTGATTGAAACTTTCACAGCTACATCAGTCAAAGACAGAGGATACGGTGAACATTCATTCCCTTCTGACGCTCGCTAAGCTTCAAATCCCGACCTCGTTGATGCGGTTGCAGAGATGACCGTACTGAAACTCTCCCGTTCTGCATTAGATGTTGTCGTCACCTGTCTTGTAGCCGAGAACCAGACGCGTCTGGGCCGAGCCTTTAACACGTGGCACCTATGAAAGGCACTGGGAGAACCCCCTGCTTTGACATTTCATTATATTTTTCATTATATTTCTCATCCCTGCAGTTGATGGCAGTCGCACCGTGACTGCTCAGGCGTGGCGATGCTTTGCACCGAGCACACATCATCTCGTCTCTCACACACGCCCTGTGACACACACCTGTATGTGCGTGTGTGTGCACAATCACACTGAATGCACTGCTGTCTGCGTTGGTTAACCCCAGATTACTGCTTGTTGTTTACAAGTCGAAAGGTCACAGGGCAAGCGGGGGGCTATGACAGTCATGACATCCCATTTTGATCTGCTTTTATCTAGTTAGCAGGATGTATCCAGGCCAGATTTGGGGTAATATTGCTAAATGTAAAAGCTCTGCTTACAATACACCCAGAATTACCTTGCAGATAAAATTCTGACTTCAGTGTGTGGTTTGCTTATTTGCCAAAGCCGTCATGCTCTCCACACAAATGGACCCAGACAGGGCTATGAGCCCAGGTTCCCCTCAGAGAGTGCATATCATAGGGAACATACCTGCTCCTGGATTAGAAAAGCATAGGGCTGAATTAATCCCCCACTTGCTGCATGTCCAGTAAAGAAATGTGAAAGCCGCTTGTGTGATAGTTTGCGGCTGAATATAAACACATCACTCACCATTCTAAACAACATTATTGGTTTCATTCTTCTGGGGAAATACTTTGAAAATTAGGAGTGCCTCTTTGACCACTGCAGTCATGATTTATTTTCTTTTTAGGAGCCACGACCTGCCCCTGTGTCGAGCCCCCCAGCTGAGAAGGTGAGTATGGTTTAAAAGAAATGGATTTTTTTAGTACTTCAGACCTTGATTAGCAAGTGGTAAATTATAAGGAGAAGCTACCTTACATAGGAAGTGACCGCAGTCTTGAGCAATAGGGCAAAAACACGGACAGTTGGAGATCCAAAGGCTGAGTAGTCATTCCTGTTATACTTCTTTAAAGTCCGCCTAAAGTCAACTGCCTGGGTCCATGCATAGGTGGTGTATTTTGATATAAATTCTCAGTGAACAAGTCCAGGCAGTCACAAAAACTAAGCAGGCCGGTTGGCATCAGCATGGACCTTTGCACTTCCCAGGTAGACCCTAGCGGACTCGTGGATACGAAAAGTATACAACCTCCTTTTATCTTCTGTGACTTATTACCCAGGTGATATACTAGGTATGGATACCAAAGATGATTTCATTTTTATATCATTAAGAAGTTAGATTTAAAAAAGCTATATATTATTATACAACATTCCAGGATTTTTTCCTCTATCTGGCATGCATGTTTATGCCGCATTGGCAACCACCAATTGCTAGAGAAAAATGGTTACTCCACATTTGGTTGGCGAGTGATTGCTGGAGGCTGTCGCACTTCAAACCTCCTTGCAGTTTGTTTGGTCACTAGCGGTTTATGACAGTTGTCACTGGTTTGCCTGGAAGACACTGACTTTTAAAACGTAAAAAGCTGAAGTTGACCCATTTGAAACCTGTTATTTTAGTGGTAATGCACAACAAAGTTTCACTACCGCTCTGTGGTAGAGACAAGTTTGCAGACAAGTCAACATCCTCCATGAAAATCAAAGTTGACCACATCAATCTGCTAGCATCCAAAGAAATCACAAGGTTTTTAGTGCAACACCCTCTTTGCAACCAGTTTCAACTATGGGGAACCTGCAACCTCCAGCAATCACTCACCAATTAACCCTGGAGGTTGCCAGGGGGTCACCGGTCTGTAGGTCTGTGTGATTGAGGTCTGGCTGAAGAAAGCTTACCTTATTTATTGCACAATGTGATTACAATGAACCCTTCCCAGTCTCGGTTACAATAGCTTTAGTTTTCTGAGTGTATCCTCTCTCTTTTCACATGTGTAGAAGGTCCTCTCTCGTCAGGAGGAGTTGAAGGAGAGAGCCAGACTCCTCTTGGAGCAGGCCCGCAGAGATGCTGCAATGAAAGCCGGCAGCAAATACATCTCCAACTCAGCTGCAGCTGCACCAAACAGAGCTGCAGGTGTCTGTGATGTAAGTCCAAGCCTTCCTTTTTGTCTGTGTGGGATTGGAGGTGTTGGTATTGTCCACTTAAAAGAATGAAATTGTCTCTGTTCTACCATCATTCTGGTAGAGTTTGATCTTCGTTTCATCTGCACAAAGAATGTTTTTCCAGAACTGTGCTGGGGGTTTTTTAATGTTTCTTTTTTACTGTAGTCCAATCTGGACTGTCTGGTCTTGAGGCGTATGACTGGCTTGCACCTTGCAGTGAACCCTCTGTATTTACTTTCATGCAGTCTTCTTTTTATGGTAGACTTGGATATCGATAAATCTTCTTCCTGGAGAGTGTTGTTCACTTGGTTGGCTGTTGTGAAGGGTTTCCCTTCACCATGGAAATGATTCTGTGATCATCCACCACTGTTGTTTTCCATGGACGTCCAGATCTTTTTGCGTTGCTGAGTTTACCAGTGCTTTATTTCTTTCTCAGGACATACCAAACTGTCACTCCTAATATTTTAGCAGTTTCTCAGATGTTTTTTTTTTCTGTTTTCGCAGCTGAAGAATAGCCTGTTTCTCCTGCATGGAGAGCAAAATCTTCCAAATGCAAGCACCTCAGGCAAAATCAACTCCAGACTTTTTTTCTGCTTAACTGATAATGACATAACGAAGGAGTTTCGTCACTTGCACATGAAATAACCCTTGAGTCAAAGTACTCCAATTAAAAACTGAGCGACACAACTCCTAAGAAAGCTGCCTATCTACACATTAGGCCATGACCATTATGTAACCATTACTGGAATATGTTTAAGTGAACAGGTAAAAAAAAAACTTGTGTCAGTGTCCAAATATATATGGACATAACTGTAGATGTGGACATTGTATCTAAGAAAGGCCCTGAGAGTCAGGATGAGGTCTGTGTAGTGAGTAAAAGCTTGCTTGAATATGAGTTTTGTTGTATGGCATCATGTCAGTGTGCAGGGAAAGCTAATAGGGTGACCCCACACCTCCTCAACTTATTCAGCGCCCTCATGTCACTTCCACAGTCTCTCTATTTGCTGCTCACTGCGCTTCCAACATGCTGGAAAAGCTTGTCCAAACTGTCTCATCCTGTGGCAGCCCACTTTGGTGAACACTTTAAGGAAAGGCTTTGAGAAGGAGAGAAGACTTTTCCTTATTAACTTCTGCTGAGACTCACTTACACTCTGGTGTGTGGAACATGTCAGTGTGGAAAGCTCAAATATGGATGGACTTCTTCGCTCTCTCCTCTCACCATAAACATGTCTCCCCCTCTCTCTCGTGCTCTCTCTCTCTCTGCTCAGACTCTCTCTTTGGTCATCTTGACTCTGCACAATTTTTATGACATCCCCCACCAATTTTGCTGCCCCCTCACTTTCCCCTGAACACTGAGTAAATGTTGTACACAAACACCTGTCAGCAAAAGTACATTCATGGTAAAAAAAAAAAGAAAAAAAGAAGGGGGCCAGAAATCGCTGTAGCGAAGCAAACTAGACTAGAGAAGATGCGAGTGAAATTGCCAGCTCTGAACTGAGCACGCTCCACTGAACATAATATACTGGGAGGAGGGGGCACACTGATGAACCAGGAGTTACCCTGGGAAAGCACTGTGGTCAAATCCTCCGTTATGTTTCCAAATATTTCAGAGAAAAGGAAAGGGGGAGGGTTAAGAAAAAAATATGGTCTTGTGAGAATTGTGACGACAAGGGATTTGAGGGTAAAATGAAATAAATACCTTTTGGTAATGAAATATCTAAAAGGCAGCAGCCGCATGCCCCCTGCGTTTGCTCCCTGAGTCCTTAAAGAGAAATATGCCCTTGAATTAGATGTTTTTAAAGTGTGTATGTGTGTGTTGTCGGTGTTTGTTCATGTTTGTGCGCCGGCCACAGGAATAACCAGTTCGGCATAATCTGAGGAAATAAACGAGGACCTTCCAAGGACTGGGAGCCGTTAAAAGTCTTCAGTGGAAGAAAACAAATTAAAAGAGTTTTTCAAAGCTGTTGCAGTGCTGATATATTTCCTTAGCCACAAAAAAAGGTCCTCTTCTGTCCCTTGTTGTCTGGCAAGATGGCGGACTTCACTTAGATTAGCTCCTTAAAGTAGGCAAACCCACCCCTCCACTCTTTCTCTCTCTCCTCCTTATTTCCTCACTCATTTCCAAGGACAATTGGTTAATAACCCCTAAACACACACTTACTTACACATACACACACACACACACTCCTCTGCATAAAAAAGGAAGGGAAGCAGGAGGGGTGGGAGGGAGATATTGAATTGTTTACACTTTTTTTAATAGAAAACATTGATCAAAGGAATACGACTGGCCTCGAGGCCAATGTGCTGATAATTGTTAGTGATTCAGATTAGATTACTTGATGTCTTGTTTTGATTAGCATGAGTGTGTGTGTGTCTGTGTTATCAGCTGGAGAGGCCCAAGCTTTTCCCATTTAACTCTCCATCTGTCTAAGTAGGTGCTTTGCGGTTTAGCATGCATAGGGTATAATTTAATTCAGCTAAAGCAGGCTTCGTTCTTCAAGGGAAACGGCTAATGTGAGGGAAAGGTGGGGCTTACATTAGCTGCTTTAGCGTATAGCTTTCAAAGCACAAACGACAAATGAGTCATCAGGTGTCATCTTTTAACTGAAATCATGTCGTACACAAAGCTGCAGGTGTCAGGATTTTTATATGATAATGCAGTTCTCTTTTATCGAAAAACTGATACTCCAGAAAACTCATAGTTTTAGTGCTAATTATATTGCACTGGTCAGCAGTATTTCAGGAGTTGTCTTCAGAGATAAAATGAGCTATTACTTATTTTGTCTGCCAGCTCTAAAGAAGTTAGAAGTTAAAATGGCTCATTTTTCTGGCATTTTTAAGAGATTTAATTTTTCCTGTTTTTACACTTGTGCACTGATTAGATCAAAAAAAGATCAACTCAGGTGAGATTTAATATAGAAATTTAAAAAATCAAAGCTTATTCAGCTGCCGGGCCAGGCCAAAATGTTGTCTAAGTGGGATGGTGTGAAACAGTGATTAATTGGAGATTGATTACCCAGAGTGTTATGACATACATCTCAAATGTTTAAAAAAAGCAATCGTTATTTACTATTTAACACTGTAGGACATCCCTTTGAGTGTTGAGACTAGTTATGCTACTTAGGTTTTAGGTTTGAAACCTTCTTTCCCCACAGCTAACACTAAATGTGACAGAAACCTCAGAAACATATACAAACTGATACATGATCAAGCTTAGCTATACTAGCTATCTGTACTAAAATCAGGTCTTCATCTATTCATGTGAACATAGCACGAACAATATGTTAGACACTTGTTTGCTGTGTGTGTGTGTGTGTGTGTGTGTGTGTGTGTGTGTGTGTGTGTGTGTGTGTGTGTGTGTGTGTGTGTGT